GATCTATCCTTGTGCAGTTCCATTATTTCAAGTGTGAATTGGGGCACACAACAGTCAGCCATAGAAGAAGTCTACTCACCCCATGGTGGCTAGCAATCAGAGCTAGAATGGACCAGGGATCACATGTACCCTCTGAAGACATGTCCCCATGAGCTAATTACTCCTACCAGTACACTTATTGTAGTTTTAATCACTACACAAAAGTACCAGGAGATTATGAATGCATTGATGGATTAATCTAGTAATGGATTAAGAGGTCTTATTATCCATTCACTCCCCTAAGCCCTTTACTACATGACTTTTTCAGGTTAATTTCTTATGTGAATGTCAATTATCATCATTGTATTGCCAATTAAATATTCAAACATAACACTTTTCTGAAATAAGTCAGAATTTTCTCCTGTGCCAGAATTTCTGTAATGCTCACGTTATGGTGATAGAAATGCTTGCATATGGCCAAGCATTCTCTGTTCGTGAGTCTCCCTTCTTTCCTCTGTAATTTAGATCTTAAAAGCTGTAATGATGTAAAACTTTCTTCCAGACATGTTGTGTACTTTGTAAGCTTTACTGCACATTGATTGTTCTTGAACTGATAGCCATTGTAAGTAACTCCCACTGTGGTCAATTATCAGGCAGGAGCTCTCAGAACAGTGGGAAATTTTAGTCATTATGACTTTCTGATCAAGCCAAAAATTATGAGGACTTTGAAGAGAGACATATAATAAATGAGAATTTCATTTTGTGCCACAAAGAAAGCTTCATATTAAAATTCAGTAATTTATAAGGTCAATTATACTCAGAACACTAAGTGGCATCAAGAATTAAGCATAAAGCAAAAGACTGAACAGATGAATACAATTTGTCAAAAAAATATAGTCCTATAGTTACCAGCTACATCCAATGACATTATTTAGTGTGACATGACAAATAATTAAAAACTCCATGACCTCAGAGATTCTCCATCATATTAAAAAGAACTCTGTGTTAGATCTTGGAAATTCATGTTAAAGAATGAGTCCATATTCAGCTAAAGATACTAAACCACATATTAAAACACCTATTCAGACATTGTTCATTGGATGTTCACAATTTTGCAAAAGCAGTGGAATGAAGGATGGCTATGTTTTTTTTCTTCTTAAAGAATATAAGAGCTACAGATGTTGATTTACTCCTAACATTTTATATAATACTCATTTTGCTCAACAATTTGTCATTGAAAATGCGAACTGTTCCTAATGATAGGCATGTAAAAAGAGGCACTATCCATCATAAAGAAAAATCAAGAAAAGACTTCCACAAGCTCTAGAAGTGACCTAGGGTAATTTGGGAATCTATTTCCACACATCCTATGGGTTAGAATAATTGAAGATTTCTCAGTAAGGGCATATTCTACCAGCTTTATTGATATACAATGCACTTTTTTCATTATATCTCAAAACCCTGGGAAATTTTATTTCACATGATTTCCCCAACTCTTCCGTAAAGGTTTAAAGCTGGTATGACTTTAGCTTGAATTTGTTTTACTAACCTAAAGTTAGTCATCTTTTGTCTCATGTGGATCATACTTTAATTCTATTCGTTTTGGAAATATTCATTTCATTTTCAACAGTAGCTTACTATTTTATTCTGACCACTTGTGACTGAGTCATTCTTTGTCCACATCTTCATTACCATCAGTCATGTCTTTTTTTAATTTTTACTAAATAGTTTAAGTTGATAACCTTTGCAAATTCATGTATTTGTCCATTTTTCTGTTAGTACAAAAGAAAAAAAAACACTGACCAGAAACAACTCAGGGTGGGAAGGTCCCTTTATTTCATGTTTTCAGGTCACAACCCATCATTGAAAAACATCAGACTTGGTATCATGGGCTTAATATAAATAGAAATAAATAGTCTATAATGCTGTCTTTGTCTTATTATCTTTGATTCTTAGTGGGAAGACTTAACACATCATTGTATGCTACTATTAGAGCCTACAATGTTTCTACAATGCTGTTCCCACCAAGGTGGGTTATATTTTCAAAACATGAGTCAAAATAAATCTTTCCTCCATAAAATTTCTTCTCCTCAAGAATAGCAAAAGAAACTGAAAGAGCTACGTTGATACTTTTCAGTATTGAAATTAATTTATATATATATATGTATATATGTATACTATGCATTATACATTTTCTTTTGCAACTTATGTTTTAATATCCTTTTTCTGACCTCAAACAATAATATCATTGGATATTACTGTGCCAATTTTTCTAGAATTTTTACAACTTTGGCTTTGAATTTCCTTATAATTCATGCAGAACTAATTTTGTTTAAGGTGAGAGGTTTGATATAGATATAAATTTGACTTTTCAGTGTTCTCAGTACCATTAGGTGAATAACATGTTTGTTTATTTTAAATATATATACTTGATAAGCTTCAAAAATTATTTGACTAGTTTATAATGCTGCAATTTAAACTAAAATCATGAAAATTACAAGTAATAAAATTGGAAAAGTTATGTTGAGTGAGGAAACACAGACAAGGTAAATTAAATAAGTTTTACTCTGATATATGGATCTTAGTCTTGAATAGCTAGATTTTTATAGTCAGTTTGAATTACAAATAAAAGCTTGGAAACTGGAAAAGACTCCTTGTTGAAAAGAAGAAAGACTTTTATGAAGTGGGAAAGAGAAAAACATAGGTTACATAAAAGCAGAAAGGAAAATTAAGGGGAGAGATTTACATTGGAAGAAGATGGTGGGAGTCTAAAAAACGTGGGTTGGGAGAGAATTTAATTTTCTTTTACACCACATAGGATAATGTTAAATGAAAAGGCCAGTGCAAAGTGTAAGATGTGTAACATGAATAATCAACCTGAAAGTCAGAGAAGCAAAGTAGCCAAGCTAGGAGCTCTTACCTCTAACCCTGGCTATAATGGTTGATCCTGTGTCCACAAGCTCTCCTCCAAGCCTCAGACAGCTGCCTCCTCTCAACATGGCTGGAGGCTAAGCGGAGGATAAAGCTTCAGACACTGGTCTCCTGCCTTTTATATACCTATCTAGGGCTGTGGTTAGAGGCATAAACTCCGTTAATTTTTTAGACTGATTCACTCTCATGTAGCCCTGGGAGGCCTTGACCTCATACTATCCTGAGTCCTAGGTTTAAAGCTGTGTGCCACCACTGCCCAGCTTCTATAGCAAACCAGTGTGGCTGGCTTTGAATTCTGATACTTCAGGCAATCTTTATTAAATCATAAATAATATCACCACAAAGATGCTTCTGAGAGACCCTTCAGTCTTTCTCTCTGGATCCTTGCCCCAAAGACCACCAGAGCCGAAGTTTGTTGCAAAACGTAAGAGGATTTGTATTAAGCTGGTGCACCAGGGTTCAGTAGCCTTGGGAAAGAAATTACAACAAGTTCTTAAAGCCTAAAACCGCAGAGGGGGTGGGGGGTACAAGGGGAATTTGGAAGTTGATGCGAGACCTTCATGAATCACGTATACTTGTGGCTGTCTGGCTGACTGGCTCGCTATCTGTCTTAGGCAACGTCTGTGCCCTGACTGAACTTTGTGACCAACCTGGAACCTTGAGGTCTGGAGAATGTTCCCAAGTCCTTGAGGACTGAGGTCTGGGAAATATTATCAAGTCCTTGAGGACCACCAGGGGAAAATGTTTATGTGTAGCTGCTCACATCCAAGGACGGGACAGCTTAGTAATTTTCCAACTATTGGGGGTCTAACTGTTGGGGCTCTTCAATTCTGCTTGTGTTATTGATCCAGGAAATACCCAAAGACCCCCCAAAGAGTACAAATTATTACCATTGTTCTTGGTTGCCTCTAGAATGTCATGATAAGACTCTATTGCTGAAGATCCACACAGATAATTTGAAATTAAAACAAAAATATTTTGTCACAAGACATGTAGAAATCACGATGCTAATGACCTTCAAGCTACATCTCTGCTGGTTAGCTTCCATAGTGTTTTGGGTACTTTGAAAAATGCTGAGAATAGTAATTTATATCCTTACAATGTTTCTTTTAATATGAAACTGAATGTTGTTTACTAGTACTTTTAGAAAAATTTTACATTTTTAAGAATATTTGATTAATGATTTTCTTCTTTTTGTGTTTTGTTTCTGGTTATATGTGTTGGCTTCATTATCAGGATGCCATAGGCCTCCCAGAATACATTTGTAAGAGTTCTCATTCTTTAACTTGTTCAAATAGTTTGAAAATAACATCAGTGTTTTAGATATTTGGTCATGGAGTCATGACATTACTTTATTTGAAGAATACTCATTTTTGGTTTAATGTCATTACTGATTATTGTTTTAGGTTTTATATTATTTTGTGATCTAACATTTTGACAGCATATGTCAAAATTTTATTTTCAGGTTTTTTTCTTAATTTTTGTATAATTTGTTAATAATATCCTATGGGCTTTTGTATTTTGTGTGTCAGTCCTCCAGAATATAATATACATTTTGTAACAAAGCAATTTTCAGCAGAGTAAATAAAGTCCGACAAAATGATTTCTGACTACAATGGAATAAACCTGGGAGCTAATAATAAGAAAATGACAGAACTGTGCAAATACAAGGAATTAAGTAGTTTGTCCTACACTAATCAATAATTCCTTGAAAATATTCAAAATAGAAATGCAACATTAAAAACTCATGAGACGTAGGGAAGTCATACTGAAAGAGGTCATCACAGTAAATAATAATGCCCAAAGAACAGAAAGATCTCAAGTAAAGATAGTAACATGGTATCATCTCTGGAGGGTAGGGAAAAAGAATGAACTGCAGTTAAAACCAGAAGAGGGAGATAAATAATAAAATACAGAGCAGAAAGAAATGAAACAGATTTTTAAAGGAAACATAAAATTGCAAAAAATAAGCAGGTGTGTCTTTTCAAGTAGACAAGGTTGATAATCTTCTATCTAGATACAGAATAAAGAATATATTCATATGATTCAAATAAGAAGTGAAAGTAAGGAAAGGGCGCAGCGTTTGAAACATGGCAGATGGCACAGACCACAAACAGACTACCAATACTGTAGAGGAGCCCATGGATCTCATCAGGCTCCTTTTGGATGAGAGAATTTATGTGAAGTTGAGAAACGACCGTGAGCTTTGTGGCAGATCATGTCCTTATGACCAACATTTAAATATGATCCTGGAAGGCAGCTATGCTCACCACTATACCACATTTCCAGAGAGTCTGGGAAACAGAACCTTAATCCAGCAAATAATGAAAGCAGAGGCAGATACCCACAGATAAACACTGAACTGAACTCCTGGAATCCAGTGTCAGAAAGGAAGAACTGATGCGCAAAGGAGTTAAGACTGGGCTGGTTTAACCCACAGAAACAGTTGACCTGAACAAGGGGTGCTCTTGGACCCCAGATTGATGGCTGGGAGGCCAGCATGAGATTGATCCAGACGCCCTGAATGTGGGTGTCAGTGAGGAGGCCTAGGTAATCTATGGGGCCTTGAGTAGTATTTATCCCTGGTGTACAAATAGATTTTGAGTGCCCATCCCACAATGAAGGATGCTCTCTCAGCCTGGACTCTTGTGGGAAGGCCTAGACCCCATCCTGAATGATATGACAAGACTCTGGAGATCCACCATGGAGAGCCCTGGGGATCAGAGTGGAGATTGGGTGGGGGATTGGGGGGCCTGGTGGGAAGGGATGGGGAGGATGGGAGGGAGAGGGAGCTGGGATTGACATGTGAAACAAACTTGCTTCTAACTTAAATATAAAAGAAGGAAGAGGAAAAAAATTAATATGATCCAGGGAGTCATAGAAGAAACTGTGACGTCGATAGAGATGGGTGAAGAGACATATGAAGAGATATATAAATCAACAAAACGGAACATCCCCATGCTCTTCGTCCAGAGAGATGGTGCTGTTCTAGATGCCCCTCCATTGATAGTCGACTGAGACAGAAGATGGTCCTGCATAGGAAAATGGACACTTTGCTCTTGAGATGCACAGAACACTCACAGAGAGAGGCTCATGAGCACTCTGATACTCAGAAATGACACGAGCATCCCCAGACCCTCAAAGAAGTTCATTTGCGAGTAACTTACAACCTCTCCAGCTAAAATGTCATGTTCCTTTTTCTCCAGCCCTCCTGCCAGTGTAACCACCTTGCTCTTTTCAGAAGCTGGTTTGCCCATTGTTCTTGCAGCTAATTTCAGGTTGTTTTTCTTCAAATTAAATTTGATGTCTTTTTTTTTAAAAAAGGAAGTGAAAATAGAGCCTAAACTTTAAAAAAAAAAACAAAAGTGATGCTTTCATTAGTTTAAATGGTAGTAAAAGGTGTAGGCTCCCAGACATGAAATGTCAACAATGTTTTCATGGCCGCAGGAAAAATGCCGTTAAATAGCAATTAATTGCAGTTCAATTGTGAAAGATGAAGGGTGCTTTCAGCCATTAGAGTGACAATAGTTTGCCTGGTTTGAAGTATAGCATTCTCCTAAAATACAAAAAGGATGCTCAGCACAGGAGCACTGTCTCTAATAACAGAAGATTTTGCACACCATGCATCATCGCTGCTCTCCTGATGAGCCACATGAGCAGGTATTTTGCAACTGAATTCTCACCTTGAACAGAGATTGAGATCATGGCAGAGGAGTGGACACCTGCATGCATGTGTGTGGACACATACACAAATAAAATAAAATAAATCTTTAAGCATTTTGTAAGAGAAGGATTCATTGCTAATTATTTAATTTCTGTTTGTAAATGTAATATCACAGTCTGACCATATGTGAGTGGTGAGAGAGTAATCTCAAGTACTTTACTTTGTTATGGGATATGTGTGTTGAGATAAGTTTGAGGGTATTGTTATACATTATATATGTTTCTATTCTTATTTAAGGTATTGTACCTTTGTAGATCATTTAAAATGTAACGTAGTCAAAACCATGCTGGGGAAACCCACAGAAACAGCTGACATGAGCAAGTGGGAGCTCATAGACTCCAGACTGAAAGCTGGAGAACCTGCATAAGACAGAATCAAGCCCCCTGAATGTGGGTGTTAGTTGGGTGGTTGGGCAGCGACGGGGCCACTGGAAATGGAACCAGCATTTATCCTTCATACACAAATGGGCTTTGGGAGCCTATCCCTAATGGAGGCATACTCTCTTAGCCCAGATACATGGGAGAGGGCCTAGGTCTTATCCCAAATGATGTGACAGACTTTGATGATCCCCTGTGGGAGGCCTTACCCTCCTTGAGGCATGGATGGGGGTGGGATGGGGAGATGGTAGGGGAATATGAGTAAAGGAGGGAGAGAGAACTGGGATTGGTATGTAAAATAAGATTGTCTTAATTTAAATAAAATTAATTAAAAATAAAATGTAATATAAAGTTTTAGTCCTTGTAAGCTATTTAGCATAATAAAGAAATACAGATTAATAGACATATATAACAGACAGAGATATATATTTTGATAGAAAGGTGATCTTCACATACTTTAAGGCATATAGGATATGGCATTTAAAAAGTTTTAATACCTTAAGGCTTTTCATGAGAGTGAGGGACATCTGTCCCTGGCAACATTAACTTACTTCAAAACAGCATGATGGGCATTGAAGAACCTCCATATGAAGTTTGCTTTCTTTGTGAAAAAAACTATCCGCAGGGCAAGACACTACCCTTGCCTCAACTATTGATAATATGTTATCCAAATTGGACTATTAGGACAGAAAAGAATACAATAGCTAAACTTTGCTAAGATAGGGTATGGCAGTCCTTCAAGAATCCTACTTCACAGAAAAGTCTGCCAAATATGTTAGGCCTGTAGGTCAAAGATTGATGCCTCAACATAGCATAGGAAATTTGGGTGACTGTTCAGGCAGCCACCTGTTTCTGACATTTCTATAATTTTGGAAGTCGTTTACTCTGCACTTTGAGTTTACTCAGGTAATCTTTCTCTAGTCTGTGATAAAGTTGAAGACTAGTTATTTATAGTTACCATTTAACTCATTACCAAATTCAAAACAGAAATTCACAAAAAATGTGAAATAAGCCGGGAGTTTAATCCCAGCACTCAGGAGGCAGAGGCAGGCGGATCTCTGTGAGTTCGAGGCCAGCCTGGTCTACAGAGCGAGTTCCAGGACAGCCTCTAAAACAATACAGAGAAACCCTGTCTCGAAAAACCAAAAAACAAAAAAGGCTGAAATGTTATGGAATAATCTTTTTGTACACTGTGAAGATGTGCATTTGCCAAGACTCCTTCTTATTGGGTCCATAAAGAGATGAATGACCAACAGCTATGTAGGAACTGGTTAGGCAGAACTTCTGGGCAAAGAGAAAGAGGAGATGAACCTAGGATATGATGGATGCACGAGAGACGACAAAGAGAAAACAAGACCTGTAGGAGGAGAGGTAAAAGCCACAGACCATGAGGCAACACAATTAATTTAAGTTATAAGAGCTAGTCAAACACAAACCTAATATAAGGCCAAGCTCTTTCATAATTAATAAATCTCCCTGTGTGTGTGTGTGTGTGTGTGTGTGTGTGTGTGTGTGTGTGTTTTAGCTGGACCCCCAAAGAAAATCTGTGTACAAAATACCACCACCTCTACAATGTTTCCATTTTTTTAGTCACATGAAAAAAGAAATGTATTTCTTTCAGTGCTCTTTTTTGTAAGTGACATGATTTATATGTGTTAAAGCAGATCAGAAACACAGAGGGGAAGCCATGAATATATGTTCACTGCTAAACTCATCCCTGTGGAGTTTAGTAGCATTATCCAGTGCAATCTAGAAATAGAAACAAAGAAACTAAAATTGCAAGAATTATGCCTTTGTGTATGAGTTAATGTGTAGTCAAGGAGTAGAATATTGGAGGATAAGTGGGAAGAGATATACACTGGGTTGCTGTCAGAATAAGAACATTGACCCTACAAGAAAGAAATTTACAGGCAAAAAGGCCCAGGTAATTGTTTTGTTCTTTCTGATTTTAATGGAATATTATAAAAGGATAGTGATTTTGCCTATCCCCTTAACAATCTGCATGCTAAATATTTAAATTATAATAGAAAGAATAGTGTCTGTGATACTATTTTTCTGACCTGGATTATATAGGACTGAAAAAATTAAGCAAAGATAATGTCTATATATCCAGTTATTGGAAAAAGCACAGATTGCAGTGTCTCAGATTAAACTGGTATTTGAGATTAGTAACTGTGTTTAAGATGTGTAACTCTTGTAATTGAAGCCATAACTGTATATGTTATTTTTATGTGTGCTTATATATTTGACGAACATATATAAAAAGTAACTATTTACAGGAATATAACTGACTATAAATAAATATTTTGTAAAGCCTCTGCATTTACTGTTCATTTACATTTTGCCATAAATCACGCATAAAATAATCTAGGACAGAATATGAAAACATGTCTACTTTAGGAATTTTAATACACATACCTTCAAAAGTGATGTAAATTACTTTTACTTTCACCAACATCTTAAATGGCAGAGTACAATAAGAGGTAGGTAAAACAAGGTTGAGTTTCTGATTTGGTAACCAAAGATAAGCTACATAAATGAGTTGCCCACTTGTTGACCTTTATACCTTATGGTCTATACATCTCAGAGAAAGAAAAAAATAAAGTGTTGAAAACTAGAAACTTGTATCGATTTCACTACTAAAATAGCAGTACTATGAATCCACTGACTTTGTTAAAAACTGCAAAGACTAAAGCTAATTTAGTAAATGCATATGCCTTCTTTTGAAATGATGCACTATCTTGTGTGTCTGTTTTTACAGGAATTTTAAAACCAGTTCTATATGGAAAGAAAGGGATTAACAGACTAGAATGAGCCTTTGGAAGACCATGAGGGTCAATATTCCTTTCTTTATGTTACAAGTGTAGACATCACAGATGAAAATGAAAGGAAAAGATCAAGACAAATAAATCTTTAATCATCCACTTGCCATACACTGAAGGGAAAGTCAGAGGTTTTGAAGGCAGAACAAATTTGTGAGCCATTTCTAACACCTCTGTTGATGGGAAACACATGCAGCGACATTACAGTCATTACTAGAAGGGCTTGCTTTGAAACGAAAGGTCAACAATTACAGAATGGAAATAAGTAGTCTACTCGTAATACAGGTTTCCTTTAGACATTTATGGCAGAGAGCTGAGAAATTCAAGGTTAGAAACAAATAAAGAATGAAGGGAAAGAAGAGATGAAGCAATTTTTAGCACTAATTTGTTAGAGACAAGTAAATAAGAAGCCTCTGAGAATACACATAGAACTGTGCTCTTCATACTATGGACTTCATTTCAAAGGCAAGTTGTGATCTTTAATATGGTGAGTGTTTTGAAAAGGAGTTGAAATGTAAACCTGAAATGGATGTGAGGCTGCATGTTCTTTTTTTGGACAGCCCATAGAGCAATTTTGCTCTAATGTTGGAATTTTTTTCAATATGTAATTTTTAAACTGAATATATGTGAAAATATAAAAGTAAAATGGGATTTTTAGAAACTCATCTTAAACAGGAAGAATAATGAAACCTGTACTTCCCTTTAGAGATGGCATCATTCCTTTAATGAGGTTTGATCTCAAGTCAAATTACTATGCTCTTGGATGACCTGTTCAGAAGGAAATGTTGCCCCCAAAAATAAATAAGTAAAAGTAAAAAGTGAACAGTGCTACAATAGGGACAAATTGCATTTATTTTTCTTTCTAGTATAAAGGTCATTAGAGCATTATTTCCACTATTAAAATCAAATTTAACTAGTCTAAATTATTAAAGTTATAGAAAGTTGAAGCTTTATGATATCAAATGGGCTCTGTATTGGCAAATAGATCTCATCTTATTCTTTTCTCTACTCTGTGTGCATACTTGTTTTTAATTTTCAGTTGACAAAATTACTTATCTATATTTCTATTAAAATTTCAAAATAAAAAGATCAAAC